ACCAACCGAAACTTTAATATTTGATTTGTAGAAGTCATTGTAACACTTTTTTTCATTAGCAAAAAGTGTTTTGTTTAATTGTTTAGAAATTTTTCTTGTTTACTCTTTGTAAACATGTTGTAATTTATAATGTGCTTTTAAAAAATGATTTAAAAAAAAGAAATTCTGTTTTTTGAAAATTATCTTTTCCGCTTCTGAATATGGCAATATATTTTCACTAACGTTTATAGTTTTTTCTTATTTTCGAGAGAAATTGATTGAATAAAGAAATGTTATTGATTTCAGAACTGATTAACTACATAAATACTTAAATTTAAAATAATATAGTATAATCTAATAATTGTATAATTTATTTACTCGTTAAATATTTACTAATATTTTGAATATTCAAATTTTGAATTACTTACGTAACTGTCATAATAGATTAATTATTAGTCACAAAAACTATTGCCAATCTATGCAATTCGACAAATTAAATTTGCTCTATTTGTTACCTCTTTGTAAGTAAATGCATTTTTCAACTATTCAAAATTTTAAAAAAATGCTAATTTTTTTATCTTGTATAAATATTATTTATTCTTAACAGTTCTTTGCAATAAAAATCTTCAAAATTGCTCAATAATCTTAATCTCTTGGAATTTAAATACAAGTTATTTTATAACTTTATAAGCATAAACATAACTAGTATTAATAATACGTTATTGATTTTAAAGAGATATTTTTAAGAAAAATGTAATCATATAATAAATATGACTTTACGTTATGTTTTCGTAATATTTTTAAGGCTTTAAAAATAATAACAGAACAAACATTTCTGTGTGTAATTTCTATGAGAAATATCAGCAAGTATAACTTCGGTCTAACCGGTTTTTAATCAACAATTCACAAAATGATAAGTTTGATTGAAGAAATGGAAGACTAAATGAGAATAAATGCTCGTCAATTAGTATAACATTGAAGGAAAAACTTATCTTATCTATTTTAAGACTATTTGTAAAGTAATAACTTAAGTATAGATCAAAAAAGATACTTTTTGAAATATTAATAATGCTGAAATTTTAATCAAATTTAAAATGAATATAAAATTTAAACTTAAATTCATTCATTTTAAATTTGATTAAATGCATGTAATTGATACCAAAAAGTATCTATTACTTTGTTAGGAATGCGAAAATTTTAATTAAATTAAAAATGAGTACAAAATTTAAAATGATTTGTAATTGATATCAAAACAAATCTAGTACAGTATTAAGAATACAGTTTTTTCATACTTTGAGCATCAAGAAATTTAAAAAAAGACTGTGATGTGTGGAAAGTCTTTGTTAAAGTATGTGCAAAATGAAACACATAGCACAGCATTACATTCCATTATAATGATTATTTAAGCATTGCAATTGTCAAGCGGAAATGCAACGTATTGGTAGAAATTAGAAGAAAAAGCATTACGCTACTTCTATTATTTTTTATTAATATTAATTAATTATTATTGATAAAAGATAGCATATCAGGGTATGAAAAGTTTGAGTAAAAAGGTCATATCAATAAACTTACTAATTATGACCTTTGGAGTTATCCAAAAGTAAAACATAGCTCTTGATTGATTGGAAATTGAATTGGAATAGATTTGCATTAAAGTTTTGAAAATAGCACATTTTGAAAAATCAACAATAAATCCATTGACTTCGTTGATTCAAACTGCTTACTTTTAATATTTCTATACTTATTTACAATCAAAAAAAAAAGAATTGGTAAATTTTTTCATTCCATAATTATTAATATTAGATATACATGTATATATTCTGATTAATATACAGTTTGTGGAAAAAGTTATTTCAAAAAAATGGTTCTGCTAGATTGAACAGACTCATCAAAAAACTTTTTTAAGCAATCAGAATCTATAACAGATAAGCAAATGAGCAACGTGTAATAATGACGCATTCATTGAAGTATAACATTTACGCCATTTTATGTTGCAAAAAAAAAAAATGCTAACAAAATGGAAACATTACATGCAAGTTTTAATTTGTCTAATAAAATATGCAAAAAAAAAAAAAGTTCTACAATTATTTCGAGTCATACTGGGCGTGAAATGTACAAACATTCATGTGCCATAATAATATCATCATACTCGAACATATTTAAATGGTACTCAAATGTTAACACGTGTACATAAATATTTGACCTGTTACACGTGACTGTTGCTTAAAAAGCGCATAGCAATACGTGCATGTTATGTGTAGACATATGCACATACGTGCATGAATCCAAACTCATAAATATAAATACATATTTATTAGTGCTATATTCGATAAATAAATAAATAAATACATAATAAGTAAATAAGTAAATGAGTAAATAAATACGGATATTTAAGTATGCCTCAGTTTTGCTTCTGCAATCATAATACGACCTCAATCAATACCGTTTTCAAACTAGGCCAAAAATTTAGTCTTTTTTCTCTCTCGTTTAAGATGCATACATATATGCGTTTAACTGTACAATTACAAATACACGTTTATGAGAGTGTACAGTGGTGCAGAAAATCAGTCAAGAATAGCGCCAGCTTTGCTCATTTACTAAGAAAGAAAGTATACATGTGTGTGTGTGTGTGTTATAATAACGTAAGTTACACGTGAATGAATTAGTTATATAATTTTAGTATTGGTATATATATATATATGTGTGTGTGTGTGCGTGTGTGTGTGTGTGAGCGAGTTATGTGCAACAAGGCCAGTTAGCGTGAATAGAGACAAACAGAGAGTATGGATGTTTCCTTGAGGGGGTAAATGTGAAGGAAGTTTGGGGCATTAGCAAAAGTTGAGAGGACTACAGACAAGCAATTGTTGAGCGCAGCATTGCAAGCAGTCTTGTCTTTCTCACGTTTATTATTTTCATTTACGTACAATAAATCAACTTTTTAAACGTGAATTTTGCACAATTTTTATTTTTAATTTTAAATTAACACCAAATATTTTTAATTTTTAATTATGCTACTTACGTTGTACATTCATTTGTACTGCTTGTTAGTGCTAAAATATTTTGATTTTAATCAACAAATAATTATACCAAATAATATTTATGAGAATTAGAAAGAGATAAAATTTATAAGAGTAAGTTCAATTAATTAATGATTCGCAAGCCATATTTACATTAATTAATTAATTAATTGATGATTCGCAAGCCTTGTCTACATTAATGAATTAATTAATTAATTAGTTAATGATTCGCAAGCCTTGTCTACAATTAAAGTACTTATGAATTTTATCTCTTAGAAAGTGATAGAAGCAAGTCCAGTTAATGATTCGCAAGCGCTGTCTACAATTAATTAATGATTCACGCAAGCCTTGTCTACAGTTAATTGTTAATGATTCGCAAGCCTTGTCTACAGTTAATGATTCGCAAGCCTTGTCTACAATTAATTGACAATTCGCAAGCAGAAGTGTAAAATTTTAATTGTTATGATATTTTTAGTAATTTAGCAAGTTTAGTTGAATTGATATGGCTACATTTATTAAGGTTAAAAAAGCTTGCAATTGCTATAGATGAATATGATAGCAATGGACTACAGACATAGGTAGATAGGTAGTATAATGCCGTGACGAGTACGAATATTATCTGTCTATAAATCAGTCTCTTGCGGACAATTCCATTATGACCAGAAATTGTAGATAGTAAAGAATTGTTTGTAATGGACTTGTTTACATTTCTGCTTGCGGCCGCAATAGCAGCTTTCAATCGTTGTTGACCTTTGCAGATGAGCCTTGAAACTTGCACTTGTATACAACAAATATGAATGAATCATGATAATTATTTGATTAATTTTGAATAATTAATAATAGATTAATTTAATTACATATGCAAAGTAATAATATACTTTTATTTATTTAAAATAAAGTAATAAAAGTAAATTTGTATTAAAGTTAAATATGAAAATAAGTTTGCATTATGCGATGGATGACAGTTTTACTAGCATGCAAATGTGTAGTAGTATGTATGTATAGAAGTAGTAGTTAGATAGGATAAGATTGGAATGGATTGGATTGGATTGGATTGGATTGTATTGGATTGGATAAGATGAGAAAAGAATCTGAGGTGCTATAGTTTTGCTCTCATTTTCGTACTCAACCCATAACTTCTTCTTCTTTGTGCCCATTTGAATGAAAGATCAGCGACCGGTTTCCAGTGCCTGGCGACAGCGTTGCTCTTTTTCATTTATTACTAAACTGAGTTGAGCATACGTACGTGTTCTAACTTTTACGTTAATGTTCTATCTGGATAATTTTGTATATAATTGTTTTGTTCACTGTTCATCTCCTATTCTAAAATTTTTACAAAATAACTTTTTTCTCTGCATTATTAATTAGGAATTTGTAGCAAATCATTTACAATAATTATTTGCTACCTATAACCCTGTCTATAACTGTAATATATATGTAGTTGAAAATTTTACTGTATTTTTTCTTGAAATGTATAAAATCAAAAAGCTGTTGGTAGGAGATTAATTTATAACACAGCTCATTCTAGTAAGCAAGTAGATGATATGATATCTAGCTAGCAGCCAAGCAGACAGTTCTCATGCAGATGTTATCTTCTTTCATACAGTAATCCTTTTGCTTGCTTTTTTTGTATGCATTTTTTGCGCATTTTCCTTTTGCAATGAATTTAAATGAATTAGATAAGTGTTTCTGGTTAAGAAGACTTATAAATTGTACAGTGCAAATATTTTCATCTTTCACATCATATTTACATCGTTATTCTCAAATCTATACATTCACATTTAATTTTAGTTTAGTTGCATCAAACACAATTCAACCATATGAAATTTAGCACATGAACAATGATTAGCCATAAGTAGAGAATGCATGTTGTCAGAATTTCGGTGTATTATTTAAGATTAAAAAAATTATCCACCCTGAGGGTATTGGTTATTTTGTGGTGGTGTTAGCTAGCATTATATGCTGCTATCAATGAATGAATGATACATAATTGTTGTTGCTGGTATGATTGTGTGTGGGTGTGTGTGTGTGTGTGTGAGTGTGTGTGAGTGTGTGTTTTTTCCTTTAATTTACATAGATGAAGGAAAATATAACCATAGAGCATCTGATAAGGAGCGATTAGTAAGGAAGGTTACAAATGATGCTTTGGTATAACGAATAGCGCAGTTGCTGGCTGTACAAGTTTGCAATGCTGCTTTGAGAAAAGCTTTTTAGGAGGAGAAGGAAGTAGAAGAAAAGATGATCAGGTGTAAATCTGGTTTTGGGGGCAATTCAAATGGCACCAATGAGCAACAAGTAGGCATGCGTCCCCATTTTAAAACATTTGAAGATGCAAGAAAAGAAAGGCCGAGCATCATTGCGCGCCACAACACCGCACCGGCCCATGAATGATAGAGATAGATGTTGTTAGTACGTACGTACGTTCACAGCACACAAACATCCTTGCCATAACAACAATTTTAACTATTACAGAGTAGCGGCAGTATAAATGAGTAATAACAGCAAGTAAGTATTGGTAAAGAAGTGAAAAAGATACACACAACTTGTCACCGTTTAAATTGTTTGCATAGCAAACAATTTAAACGGTGACAAGTTGATATTCCACTTTGAGCTTTCTTGAAGAAGGCCTCGGGCAAAAGCTGAAAATTTTTGAAATAGATATAAATTCTTAATTATCACGCAGGTAGTTAGGTAAATGAATGAACAGTAGACAAGTTAGGTAAGTAGATAGGTGAGTAGGTAGGTAGGTTAGGTAGGTTTGCAGGTACGTACGTTGGTGGTAGGCAGGCAGGCAAATAAATCCCTTCTTTTCGTCTTTGTTGCAATTTCGCCTTAGGCATGCCCATACGAAAGAAGAATACTTCTTGTATTTTGGGGCACGACCCGCATGCCACAGCAAACTCTATGGAACCTTTATGGGCTCTAATGACAAATAACCAGTCGCTATTCATTCAAACTTCTCGTTGCCATTTTTCTTCTTTAAATGAGATCAACAGGAATATTATTAGGTCTAGTTACCATCATCTACCTTATTTCTTGTTACCTCTAGCTGCTTACTTATTCTGTTCTTTCCATCTTATCCTATTCTATTCTGTTCTATTCTATTCTGTTCCATTCCATCCCATCACATGGCACGTATTATTTATTCAGTTATATTTGTCCTAACAGTATAGGCTCCCTCATCTAGCAGAGGAAAAGTATTACATAAAATAAAGCGGGTGGGCAGAATAGATGCTTTGACTTGCTTTCTCCTATTCTAGCTGTTTTTCGTTTTTTATTACTGCTAACTTTGTTTAAAAGCTGAGCAAAAGTAACAGTAAGTACGTATAGTATGTGTCCGATGTTCACGCTTACTTTCTTTAACGTATTCAGTAGAAGTGATTATTTTTGTCTGATTAAAGGTTATTATAGTAATAATTATATGGTTCTGAAGTGCTTTCACACTTAAACATTTCTTATCTGTCGACATTTCAAGTCATTTATATATTCAAGTCTGGCAGCATAACAAGTGAGTAAGTTAGTAAGTGAGTATCTGCAAGTGAATGATTAATATTTCATCGTAAGATTTGCATACAGAGTAATATTGATAATGATATCAGGAGCATATCAGATCAGTTCTATTCGTACAGTAACACTACCATTTCTTATCCATCCGTCAATTCAAGTCATTTATATATATGCCAAGAGACGCATTAGTTTTACATTTACATTTGAGTGAGTAGCTGCTGCTGAGTAAAGTAGAAAAGAGAAGAGACTGCAATGAAGTCACGTAAAATCAAGTCAACAGTCAACAAGTAGGTGGTTGGTAGGTAGGTAGGTGGATAGGTAGGTGGGTTGGCTGCAAACTAACATTCTACATTTACGCATCACATTGCACCATACATCCATCGCACCTTATGTTTGTTGCACGAGTAGTGGCTGAGGAATGGAATGTATTGGTGGAGGAGGAAAGAAGAAAGGGGAAAATTGTTTGAACCTTAAGGGTGAAGAAGAGCAGACCCTAGCTAGGCTCGTTCAATTCTATCACTAGTGCTGCTCTTCTTCCTGTTGGTCTTACTCATTGTATTGATCAATTTACAACATTTATGTGGAAGATTTTGCTAAAATACGAATTACTTCTAGTTCACAATTTGTATTCTTAAATTATAAGCTACCGAAATTTCAAGAAAACTGTATTTTTACTGTATTTAAGTTGTATATTCAAATTGGTATTGTTACATTTTACGGTAATAATTTTTTATTAATTACACAGTACAAAACAACTATGTTATAATTGTATCACTATAAATATTCATTATTTCGATTATCGGATAACTCTTATAATTGTTTTAAAGTTAGTCATATTGTAGAACAAACGGCAACCACGGCGGACCAACGGCCTCCTTCAATGGTGTTCACGGCTGCTGAACTACCAAAATTTACTACACATCCGGCAACATTTATTCCTACAGTTTTTGGTGGGCATGTGCTAGTTTATGAAAGTCGTTCTCATCCGGGACATCGCCGTGAATTTGCCTTTAAAACTCGATTTACTAATCAATCGGGTGTTAGTTCTTGCTACTACCGATGTATGTCATGTCGTAGTATGAAAAATAAAGTACCGCCAGGACCAGATGGTAAGCCTCCACAAATTCCATGTATTGCTGTAAAAAATGGTTTTATTGTAAATGATCCTGATTTTCCCGAGGCAAATGATCACTTTTGTATTCCACCAACAATTGATGAATCTAAACAACGTGAAGCAAATGGTTTTGCTAAAGCTATTGTTAAAGGACGTCCACGACAAAAAGCAGCTCGAAAGAATAATAATACAGGCAATAATGGTAGTGCTAACAAGAAAGAAGCAATAATGGCTGCACAGTTACAAGCCTATCAAGAAATGAGTAATGCATTATTGAATGGTGCAGCAGGAAATATTTTTGACATTTCTGCATTTACAGGTGGTTTGGATTTAAATAATGATTTCTGCGCATCATCTGCTTCACAACTACTAAGTTTAGTTACTGGTGGTGTTAAAGGTGATTTAGATTCAACGGGTGAAACTAGTGATTTTCTGAAAAATATAAAGATGGAAGATGATGACATTGATGATACTGCAAAAGCAACACATTTATTGGCATCATTAATAAGCTCAGAACCTGCATTACGAACTCCTATGATAGTACCTGCGAGTGCACATAGAGCAAATTTAGTTTCATTATTAGCTGCTACATCAACAGCAGTAACGAGTGGTGTTGGTGCAGAAGATGAACAACCAAATACAATTAATAATAGTGATATTCGAAGTAGTCCAGAAAGTAACACGGCTGTTGTTGTAAATGCATTACAAAATACTGATTCTAGACCTCAATCTGTAGGTTCCTCATCTCTGTCAAATCTTGTGCTACCAGCAATACCAGCAAATAGTTCAACAAATAGTCGAAAACGAAAGAACAATAATTCAAATTTATTGGAAAATCATTTCGATGAAATTTTCGAACGATATATTTCAAATAATTGGGAAATTCTTGATAATGGTTCGTTACTTTTTTATGTTAATCACGGATCTCTTAAAAAATCATTACAAATGCATATGACAAAATTGTGTTATGAACTATACAATTGCATATGAATTAAAGTTAATTTTTATATTCGATTAAATGGTCAATTTAAATAGCTTTATATTTTCAGGTAGGAAACCTGAAAATATTGCTGAACATACTTGTGCTTTGATTCTTTCTTTGGCTCGTAAGATTCCACAAGCAGTCACATCAATGAAAGAGGGCAAATGGACAAAGGTAGAACCATATGCCGAAGAGGTTTCTTATCTTTCTTTAATTCCAAATTTATATTTATTAGCTGGTAATTTACATTATTTTGTAGTTTTATTCTTATTTTCATAATTAGTAACAAGGCAGAAAATTTACTTAAAAATCCACTTTTTTGTATTCTACTGTAAATAGGTAGTTTTAATTTCTTTTCATGGTTTTAAAGAATTTCATGAAAAATAAATTGCAGTCGGTTTTATCTTAAAATGGTTTGAGATTCCTGAATATAAATTTCAGAAATATTTTTGAATGAAGGATTCAGTATCTTTTCAAGTATCAATAATTTTCAAACTTTGATACTTTTTTCTTCAGATTTTTGGGAAGTCATTGGCAATCATTGGCTTAGGACGAATTGGTTTGGAAATAGCACAACGTATGCAAGTATTTGGTATGCGAACATTTGGATATGATCCACAAGTTACGCAAGAGGTAAATTTGGTTTTATATGCAGGACCAAATGAGATTTGATATTAGGGTTGTATTTTGATTTTAAAATAGAACTAGCAGATTTGGTCAAATATTATACAAGTTTTCGAAAAAAAATCTTCTATTTTTTTCATTTAATCAAGAGATTGCTTAAAAAAATAAGTGAAATCGATTCATTGTGTCTTTCTAAATTGATACATACAGTCGGAAAATTTAGTTCAAAGGAAAGTTGGATGATAAGTTTAAATATATCCATGATTCTTAAGGTTAGAAAATTGACAACTTCAAAATAAAACAGTAAAAATTGCCAGAAGCATTGTTAATTAGGATATAAAAATGTGAAAAGAAAACTTGAAAGATCAGTTAATAATAGTAAATGAAAGGGTCAGTTTAATAATGAGGGATCTGTTGCAGTCATAAAACTCACTAAAATAAAGCTTAAATAGATGCTGGCATTTCATGCTCTTTCATACCAAACTTCACTAAAAGGAAACATCTGTATCAACTTAAAACGCTTGACTAGTGCTATTGAACATGATTTAAATGATTGTTCTAATAGTAGGATTGAAATGATTATCCTATTGAATGAGATTAAAACGATTACCGTTTACAGTAGATGCTATTCACTTATTATGCAGGAAGCTGCTCGACATGGAATCAGATGGGTTCCGCTGGATCAGATTTGGCCTCAAGCTGATTACATTGTCATTCACGTGCCACTGATAACAAAAACAAAAAATTTAATTTGTTCTTCAACATTAGCTCGTTGCCGAAAAGGTGTAAAAATTATTAATATGGCAAAAGTTGGAATAATCAACGAAGTTGATATGCTTCAAGCCTTAAACAAAGGGCGTGTTGGTGGTGCAGCTTTTGATATTCATATGGAGGTTCGATACTTGATTTATTCTAATATTGCTATGCTGTTCAGAGTTGGTGCTATTTTGCATTTATGTTTGTCGTTATTATGGAAATATTTTAGGATGCCCCACTTTTCCGTGCACTAATCGAACATTCAAATGTAATTTGTACGCCGCATGTAGGTTCTAATCCGTTATACGGACACCACAGAATTGCGAATGAAATCGCCGAAAATATCGTTTTATTAAACAACTCAACTGGTCCTTACGGAGCTGTAAGTTTTTATCTCCTATGAATATTTTGAAGCACGCAAATCTAATTTATTAGTATTTGTTTTTCTTTGGAAATGCACTTAAGAGAAAGAAAAGTCTAGAAGGCTTGTTATGTTTTATTATATATGCTACAGTTTATTTATAGTTCAGTTTGTTTCAATTGGTTTTCTTTAATTTTCTATTGCATATACAGTTGATACTAATATTTGTTAAAAGAAGAGTTGAAATAACAGGAAAATTAATGAAGAGGATTTGTGTGAATGTGGTAAATGATTTTGAAAATTGGCAAATTTTATGATTATAAATTCTAAAATCGTTCATCTTTTTTAAAATAAGGCTCACGTTTTGATAGCTATTAAATTTATGTCGTCTGTATATTTAACTGAATTTGATGCGAAGTATTTTGCATCATAGATGAATGCAGCAGCTGCGACAGCAGCACTGGATGAAGCCAAAAATCAGTGGATTCGTGCGGTGGTGACGCTAACTCAGACTCTAGCAGTAATTGGAAATTCACCAAAAGCTATTACCATACGTTTCCCCAATTGTACGAACTCGTTAATTTTTTATTAAAATCTTTAGAGAAGGTTTTAATAATGAATCTTCCTAGAAATCGATTTTGCAGCATTTCAAAGTTTCAGGATTTTCAGTACGAGTGGGAAGTGAGTAAAATTTTGTCAGTACGTTTAGGTCAGTCAATTTAGTGATTGAATTGGTTGTGTTTGTCGCAGTGGCAGTAATTGTTTTTCGATGTTGTTGTTGTTACTATTGTAATGCTGTTGTAGTCGTGAAATTCATGTTGCCTTGAAATTTCGGCTGACAATATTTTGTGAGAGTAGTTTAAGACTAAGTTTTAAATTAATCTATTAATGATTATTTCCAGCTCTTATTAGTCTGCAAAAAGCTATGCATGCTGGCGCCATTGTTGGGTTAATGTATGCATCTGGAAACCTTGGTCCGAATCTCAGTTTCACTGAAATGAATGCACGAAAGGAAGGTGTTCAGGTGAGATAAAAACAGAAATTAATTTGAA